TGGTGTGTATGATAGCATTTACAGTGAATGTATGGGACGAAAAAAAAAGGATTTGTATAAATAAAAGTGAACATACCTTGCTCCAGTGTTGTTGTTAGTGATATTTAACGTCATTCTGAGTGGTTTTCAGCTATTTTAGAGCATTTTTTTAAAAACAACACTGGAGCAAGGTATGTTCAAATTAAATAAATTACATATTTTTTCGTCCCATATATTCACTGTAAATGCTATCATACACGATCATACACACCAAAAATACATTGMTTGGGCTGCCTGTGGTTAAAACTGTGCCTGTTGTGTCTTGTGTTTGTTTCAGTCCGATATGCACCATCAATCGTGCTCTAATTGTATTCACTGTACACAGTGTACATTTTCTTTGCAGGGCATTACTCTGGATTATTGACCGTCCTGCCTCACAACTGTGCCTCATCAGTGGAAGACTCGGTCATGGCAGATGAGCAAGAGAAAACAGAGTTTGTCCCAGTTACAGAAGAYGAAGCTAAAACAAAAAAGTCACGACGTAAGAGAAGTAAATGTAAATGCACTACARTTTTTCTAGTTCTGTTGGTTGTGTTTCTCATCGTTGGCGCCTTCATCGGTGGCTACCTCGTCCGACGTGCAGTTTTTGGTGAYTGCAAAACAGTGAGTGGAGCCGACGAGGCAGATGACCTCGAGAAATTATATTCCGAAGCGATTGATGGCGTTTCTCCGACAAACTTGGAAAAAGAGCTCGAGTAAGCAATCACAAGTTGATAATTAAACATGCTTGACTTCACCGTTTTTGTTTTCAAATATTAACAACATATTTTAGCGCGCTTTTTATCGAAATTCTTTCCATGTATTTTTCTAGCTGTTTGTGTTTTCTTCAGTACAATATACTGAGAAACGGGAGCTTGAAGCTGTTTCTAAAGCCATTCAATTTTTTTAGTTGTGTATGTGCGTTATTTAAAACTTTGCATTCAAATGGAGTTCGTACTTTATTCTTCCATTTCACGTTACGTCATCGCGGCCTCTCGGGAGAGCGTTGGTGCCATTTAACAAAAGATTTCTTATTAGCATCCATTGTTAACGGCACCAACATGGCCGCCATGCTTTTGTCTTTTAGYTCTCTTGCGAATGTTTGCAATCCATCAATTGTCGTTTATAAAAAAACATTTGCATAAACAGCGTCCTTATTGTGACATCAAAGGTCAGTTACGCTTTCAAAGGATTAAATTGACATATCGTTTAGTCTCATTTAAATTTGATGTCACACTCACTCTCTGTTGTTTTTTTTTTGTTGTCCCGGATTGTTTGCTTATCTTGAACTGCAGTCAGTAGTCTTAGGGACGGACCATTAGATAGTTGATGGGAGGGGAGGGGGGTTGCGTAAAACCCCCAAAAAATATCGAGCAACCTCTTCTGCTAAAAGAAAATATCTAACTGTACACAAAAAAATAACGTGCAAGGTTTAAGCCAAAAAATAAATATCATGCAACCAAAATTCCTGCAGCCCCCCATCAATTATCTAATGGTTCATCCCTAAATATTCGCTCAACCGCAACTTCCGTACGAATAACAATCGCGAATAATTCGTACGGGTGGGAAAAATGTTGGTAAATATTCGCTAACCGACTCCCGTACGAATAACAATCGCGAATAAATCGTACGGGAGTGAAAAATGTTGGTAATATGACCTTATAGTCTGCTAAGGATTTGAGATTTTATACTCAAAACAAATCGTCCCCAAAATTTWTATTTCTTTTCTGTTTTCCTTTTCAGCTTTTCTTTGTTTTTGCCCTTATAGGCAAAGGGCCGGTCATCTGCGTAGTCTTGTCTATGCTATGAAAGCCGGGAGAGGGGGGAGGGGGACTTCAGATTTATTGATACCCTGAACTAGAAAAAACCTTTGGGCTGAACAAAGTCAGGGCACGGCTAACTAATAATAGAATTGAGAAAAGTAAAAATTGTAATGACCTGAATTTAATTT